TTTTGCGTAGCCCACTAGCAAGGTATATATTTCACAAACACGACGACGCCCTATTAAAACACGAATACGATGATAATCAAAAGATTGAACCTGTATTTTACGTACCTGTGATTCCTATGATATTGATAAACGGCGCCGACGGCATCGGCACCGGATGGATGACAAAGATTCCGAACTACAATCCTCGTGAAATTATTGAGAATCTACATAGGATGATGGACGGCGCGGATCCAAAACCCATGGTAATATCGATGTTAAATTATCTAAGAATATAGAGAGAGAGAGAGAAAGTTAAAACCATAATTTTATAAATGTTTAATCAATAGTATTTCTCTCATAAAAAAAACACAAAAAGTATCAAGGCTCATCAATTTTTAATTGTGTCACGTAATCGTAATTTATTTTTTAGTCACCATACTACAAAAATTTCAAAGGCGTCGTGGAGAGTTGTGGCGATTATCGTTACGTTATAAGCGGAGAAATATCAGTAATTGGACCAGATAAGCTGGAAATCACTGAACTTCCTATCGGTACATGGACACAAACATATAAGGAAACTGTGTTGGAACCCATGTTACATGGAACTGATAAAACACCAGCTGTCATCACGTAAGTATTACAAAATCTCCATGAGGAAAAATATCAAAGGCCGTATCGAGATTTGAACCTAAAATATCCCTTCAGAAAGCTATTACTCTGCCACTGAACTATTCTGTCGCCTCATTCACAACGCGAATTCCTCTGCTCACCTATTTACTCTTGATTATTACAGTATTATAATCGATTCACGATCAAACGATTTGTAGGAATTCTTTCTTTTACATGCTTTTCTGCTTATGTATTTTTCCATAGGGATTACAAAGAGTACAATACAGATACGGCAGTGCACTTTATAGTAATTTTAAATCGTGATAAATTATTGGAGCTAGAAAGAGAGGGTCTTCATAAAGCGTTTAAACTCCAAACAACTACGACAATAACGTCCATGGTAAGATACTATAGATAATGATATGGCATTATTGTAAGTAAAAAACGGGAATTTGTCAACGTGACATCTTTTTGTTACAGTGCGCATTCGACGAAAATCAATGTTTGAACAAATACGAAAATGTGGTACAGATATTGAAAGTGTTTTATAAAGTACGTCTAGAGAATTATCACAAGAGGAAAGATTACCTAGAAGGGATTTTAAAAGCGGAATCAGCCAAGCTGTCAAATCAGGCTCGCTTCATTCTCGAGAAGTGCGACGGCACTTTAGTGATAGAAAATAAAAAGAAAAAGGACATGATAGCGGAATTGATCAGACGCAATTACGATTCGGATCCGGTCATAGTTTGGAAATTATCACAAGATAGGGAGCAAGTATTGGTAAGTAGAATTTCGCTTCAAAATTATTGTATATCCGAGAAGGGATTATATAATTACTTATTTGAATTTATCTATTTTGCTACATTAGGAAGATCAAGTAAGTTAATGCAGGAATAAACAGTATGTAAAACGTCAATGTAAACGTCCTAACTTGAAAGCTTTTCAATGAACAATCGTTTTTTAATTAATAAATCTTTTGACAAAAAAAATTCTTTTTACCATTTAACAAAAATAAGCAAGGAATTCTTGAAAAACGGATTATGATTGTCTCTATGAAAACCCTTGTCATTGCTATGTATATATAACTTCATCAATAATTTTAACATAAATGAATAGGAAGAAGTAGTGAACGATGACGGTGACGAGACTACTCCGACTGCAACGGCGATAGAGAAAGAGAATTTTGATTATCTTCTCGGAATGACTATGTGGAGTCTGACGAAAGAAAAAAAGGATGATTTATTGCGACAACGGGACGAAAAGATAGGGGAGTTAAAGAGACTGCAATCCCGCACCCCGATCTCTTTATGGAAAGAGGATCTGGACAATTTGTTGGCTGAGTTAAATAAGGTATATTTATCTTTTTTTCTTCTTTGAAATGAAAGTGATTGTCATGTGATTTGTGTATATAGTTGGAAGAAAAGGAGCAGAAGGAAGACAACAAATCGAAACGAAACGACAAAAAACCGCCTTCTAGATTCTATAAAAATGAAGATACTCGTCGCATAATTCCCGTCATTGACATTGAATTGAAGAAGAAGATAGAAAAGGCGGACATCGTATCGAAGGATAAGAAGGAAGGTATAATAAAGAAGTCGAGGGTAAGTATCTTATGTTACCTGATTTATGATTTTTGTGTATCTATATTGTTTTTGTATCTGTAAATCTATCTTTTGTATCAGACAAAGAAAGAACCAATCTCTGTGGAGGAGAAAAACGAATTTGATGCGTTAGCTGATGCTAATTTCAAACCTCTCGACGATAGGCTTGGAATGTCTCCCGAGAAATTAGAAAAGAAAGCAGCTGCAAAAAAAGGTCGGTACTTTGACTCGCTTGCATATTATATATTTTGCAGTAGACATTTTAACAATGTATTCTTACCGAACAGGTTTGAAGCAATCGACGTTGCAGTTCAAGCCGATCAAAAAAGGAGCGAAGAAGAAGAACAAAGATTCGGACGATAGTGACGACATCGATTTCGGTAGCATTTCGCCACTTCCACAACGGTCGACTCGCAGAGTTACAGGTATCGTTTTTTTGTCGATCTAAAAATTATTAAAGCAGTATATATTGTATCCTTTCTCGAGATATCGTTATTATTCGCTAAATCTGTCTGAATAATAGCCAAGAAGAATTTTTATAATTACGAGGACATGAACAGTGAAGATTCGAACGATGACAATCGCGATATGTTCAATCCCTCTTCTGACTCCGAACAAGTGTATGTATAATCGTTATATATTACGATAAATTATTCCGAGCTTCGTTTATCATTGCATATTTTTTCTTACAGATCCAATAAGAAAGATTTTATTGTGGCATTAAGCGATTCCGACGACAACTTTAAACCAAGCAAGAAACCGCCCCAACCAACACGTAAGCGTATATTATATATA